AATGCTTATGTAGCAATTAGCCTTTAAAGGACTTTTAATTCTACAGCTAACTTTATGTGGAAATTGTTTTATATATCATGGTAAATGATGGGGTTTTTATTTACTATTTGAAGAAAGCATATTTATGAAAAAAATGCTTTAGACTTAACATGCTGTTCAATAATAACAGTAAGCACGTGAAATGTTTGATATGGTGTTACTTACATCCATCTAACACTAGTGGTCCCAAACCTTGAATCCTTTGTTCTTAAAAAAATGATATAAAGTGGAGAAAATTCCAAGAATTCACCGTAAGATGAAAATATTACATAACAATGTAATAAAAGGATATTTAATCTCAGTTTCTGTACAGATCTTTAAAAAGTTATGTGGGAATGTATAGACTGTTTTATATGTTTGCTGTTGAAAAGACAAAAGCTTGTGGTCAGCTGTGGTGAAAATTGTAAGGAAACTCCCTTTGAATAAGGTATAGAATTTCCCCATTATTTTTTTGAATTGTAACACATTAATCAGAATACATATTCACTTAATTCCATAATCTCTGAAATGGCAGTATATTGTGTTAAGGTGTGCATTTTCATTATGTGAGACTTCCTTTTCTAAATATTTTAAAATAGTAAACATTTTAGATTTTGTGATGAATCTCCTTAAATTTGAGACAGCTTAGATTGTTTTCCTCTTTAGAAAATACTGTTGTTTATTGTTACCCTTATTATTGGAGTTCAATGACAGATTTATTTTATTTTATTTTATTTTATTTTATTTATTTTTTTGGTAGAATGACATCTTCAGTGGAATTCATTGGTATAGGAGAAAAAAAACAATGCATGCAGCTAACCTATTGGGATATCTCTGCCTAAATTAGCATTGGTTTTACTAGCACCCATTTAATGACAAGTCTTAAGTGGTAAATGACTAGAAAAAATGGTTAACACTTTTGTCACATTTACGATTTTATTACTTAGAGGAAGGGTTTTTTCATATTAGAATTCATTTGTCTATCTGACCGTATGTGTAATATTTTTTAAAGAGACACTGTAGAGGTAGACTGTTCCAGTGAACCCTCTATATAAAAATATCTCTGAAGCCTTTTGTTAGGTAATAGCATTTGTGATCTTAATGCTCTTGAGGAGCTTTTGCATGACCTCACTCTTAGCATTGTCACATTTTAGTCTCCTGGAACAAGGGTTAGAACAGCATGGAAGGTTGATATTTGTATGCTTTGGAGAGGAATTTGAGATGTTACCCTGTTTTGCCATCAGTTTTCAAGTAGGTACGGGTGCATCATTAATCATAGGAAATGCAAAAATAAATAATTCAGTCCCATTGGATTTTTTTATATGAATACTTACCTTTTCCCTTTTTTGTATATACAGTTGAGGTATTTAGGTAACCCCTAACCTTTAGCTTCAACAAAGAAGTACAGTATAAAAATATTACCACAGTTTTCATGTGAGCAGCTCTAGAGAGGGAAAAAAAAGTCCTCTAGATGGATATTTGTTGAAAAAAAAGTTGTGATACAGAATGTCTTAACTCAGCCCCAATACAGTACTTGAAGACCACCAGTGTATAAAATTGAAAGCACATGAGTTTTGAAGCACTAGAAAAGGTTTGTAATTGATTAGCGCTGCTTGAAAGTATTGAAGTACAGTGAGTTTTGATTTGTGAATGGTTCTATTCAATAAAGATTAATTCTGTGTGTTTGATAAAATCTTAGTGCCTTCAATGAGTTAGTTTTTTCCTCCCTCTGCAGTTTATTTAACCATCAAATATTTCAGTGTTCTTTTAACAAACTGGAACATTTCTATCTTACTGAATTTAACTTTAGCATGACTGATTTAAACAAGTCAAACTATCAGTGATTAGTTTGAAGGGTGTAATTGAATAGATTAATTTTTTGTTCTTGTAAAATAACTAAAACGTATCATAATGTTATCATGTATATTTCATGCCTTCCTTGTGATTTGGAGACCGTCGGGAGAGGTTCATAATGACTAACAAAATATTTTTCTGTGATTTCTTTTAAATCCTTTGCATTTTAAAATGTTTCTAAGATTTCAAAAGTGGAATCTTTGTTTTTTATGTAAAATTAGGATTATTATAATTTAAAGTAATTTATATTATGAGTCTTCGGGAGTTGCATTGACATCTTTAACTTTTAATATATATTAGGGTGGTCTTCTGTGTATGTTCTTGACTTTTTAAATGGTCTCCCTAGATTTTTGGAAGTTAGCTGTCTTATTTTAGAAGCAAGTCATACCATTTCGACATTATTCAATTTTGAAACTGTAAAGTTATTGACATGGACCACAACTATTACTTTGGAAATCAGTGTTTACACATCATATTTAGTCACTGTGACCAATTACAAAGGTTTTATGTGGAAATTTAATCAGTTAGCTGATACATTGTCATAAGTAAGTTCTTAATTGTAAGATATTCCATGAGTCAGATCTATCGTTTTCAACAGACTTTAGTTATGATAAGTAATGGGCAGATTTTGAATAATGCAGATTGCAATTCTTGTTTAATTCAAGGTAAATGGTGTGCTGAGAGAGCAAGGACACTGAAACTCTATCTCTGTCACACTCACACACACACACATTCTCACACACTTTTCGCTCTTATTTGAGGCGAGGCAGTTGGTCCTCGTGTGCTTTGTCCCTCACCTAGGAAAACCCTAAGCTTCTAAAAAATTATTTTGCAAAACTGGATCACATTTTGCAAAAATTATTTTGCAAAACTGGACCGCATCACTGGATCACTTTTGACTTTTCATTAGGCTGTGCTGATAATCATTTATAAGAATTGAAGGCCCGGAGTGATGTTTTAGACTTCGAATAGATTATGAGATGGGGGAAATGTTTGCAGTGTGATGACGGCCTATACATAATGTTCACTACATACCTATAATTAGTGTGGTGTAGTGGGTTCATCTTAAATTGTCCTCCGGGTGCTAAAGTACCATTTGGGGGTGGGAGAGGCTAAATTCCACTTTTTAGAAGAGAAGGAATTAGTTACGATTTCTAAAAATATAGGACACGCGATAGATGATCTTTATCTGTTTAGTTCACTCTTATGCCTGGTTTAGAAACTTGGGCACGGTTTGAAAATTCCACTGTAGAAATAGCTATTAAGGATGCCACAGAAATATAAGACCCCTCGTATGATAGGATAAAGAGCATTTTAATGTATTATTTGTGACAGGATTAATGTCTTTGCTTTTAATGCTCAAGTAGTCCTTGAAACTTGTGCTGTTCCCCTTCTGGTTAGAAAAATGTATTGTTTTTCAAACAGTAATGTTGTGGAAGAATAAGTTAACTGCTTGAGATGCCTGTTTCAAGTTATTCCTTCGTATAACAATAGTTTTAACCATTTTTTTCCTTATCTCTTGTGGGGGGAACAGCAAAATTACCATGTGTAAGCTGTGATTATAATAGGGGCTGTACTGTAGCCCAGTTGTATATATGTTCTGCTTCCTGAATGCAGAAAATTTTGGAGTAATGTTTATTACCTACCATTACATTTCAAAAAAATAATCTGTGATTATTCTATTGTATGTGTCGTAACTGAGGGGGCCCACTTCCAACTATATTGAGGGAGTCACTACAGCAATTTCACTTTTTCTTTTTTTTTTTTTTTTTTGTAAAATACAAACTGCGTTCCTTACCTTTTAAAGAGAGACCTTTTTTCTCCTTCAGGTTTAATTATTTCTCTTTGACCTAAACTAAGACTGATCCTCTCTGGTAGCCAGTTAAAATGTGTGAAGTAGGAGGAGTAAAGGAAACTCCAATCGTTAGTTGTAAGTTATAAAGCAAAGTTAATACAGGTATACAGAGCAAAAGGATTGATTTTAAAGGATAAAAGAAACTTTTATAAACTTGCCTTGTAGTTGGAAAATGCTGGACATCATAAAGAAAATCTTGTAAGTGTTTAGATATTTTACTCTAATACTGGGTCAGCTGATGAATGTTGAAGTGGTTTACTTTTGTGTATCAACATTAATTTGAAATCGAATATTAAGGGACTATATTATGCCTGTTTTCTTTGAAAGTTCAGCATGATTTAATAGGTATGCCTTTTTAAAATCATGCAGGGTATCCTTGCAGAGTTTTGTTTTTCATGAGACTAAACGGTATTCATTTTGGTAGGTCCAAGAATATGATTAAAAGAATCCTAGACATTTCAGTGCTTGCCGTGTGTTTATAACAAGTTTTCCATATGGGTAATAGTGTGTAGATGTAAAATTAAAATTATATAGAAAATATAATGGCGTGTAAGTTTTTAAACTTACAGTTCTGTGAACTGTTTAATATCCCGGATGTCCTGGGTAACTATAAAGATTTTTTGAAAATGGCTATTACATGCTTATAATTTTATATAGGAATATATGCTTCAATCATACGAAGTTGTGTAGAAACAAACTTGTGCACCTATCGTACGATGCAAGGGAAGCTTACAGATAGATTTCTTTTAGTGGAGCTGGTTAAAATGTTAAACTACTGCAGGTTTATTTCTGCAGTGGAGCATAATGGTAGAGCATAATGTCGAGATAATTCTGTGGTCTGTTATTTTGTAAAATTGCTTCCTTTTTGAAGTTTGCTCAAATATTGGGAGCTGCCAGGGTGAATACTTCATAGCACTTTGATTAATTTAGTGTTTCATTGTATTTCACTGAGGGTTAATGAGAAGATTAAGCTTTCTTTCACTGTTTTTAACTACCTCATTTCTACAACTCTAGAAAACATTTTGACTAATGTTAGATAATGTAATTTTTTCTATTTCAGTCATTCCTTCGAGAAGTAGATAAGTTACAGATGCCAAATGCAAATATGTACAGCAATTTCATTTTTTCAATTTTTAGTGCAGCAAAATAACATTATTATCATAATCTTTAATATCATACGTTACCCGGAAAAGCTAGCAGTTTATCCCAGAAACATACCTTTTTGTTTAACAGGTTCATCTCTTACAGGATTTTAAAATATGATAACACTTACCCCAAAAGAAGTTTTGCTGACATGGTGTCACTGTGCTGAAGAGGCTGTTTGATGCCATAGTCCCTCCTTTTTTTTTCAGACAGAACTTGTACCCTCTGTTGTAAATTCTGCTTGCAGCCTTAAACTGAAAATACAAACCATACCCAAACCTTGTTTTAGTTTTACAGTATGCCTGGAGTACATAGACTTTATATTTATTTTTTTCTGTCAAGAAATTATGTAGCTGGTAACATGTGAAAAGCAAGGAAACAAAACAAAAAGAATGAGCAAATATTTGAAGGACCTACTATTACTGCATAGACTGTGGTTAGAGAGCACTCACTGACTCTGTTGGTCTCGGTGGCTGGTAGTGACCTGCGGAGATTAACCATTTAAAAACCAGAGACTTCTTGCTGTCCTCCTGGAGAAAGTTTGCACCGCACTTGTGGTTCTGTGGTTGTTTGTGAGGCGAATGAAGCATTCACACAATCCAAAAAAGCAAAAGCTTTAAAACTCCTTTTTTTTGCAAGCACTATTACTGGAGAGACAGAATCATGTGGTTTGTGACCTCACAGTACTCCAAGTGAAGTGGGACTGCCTACCACTGTGGCTTTTCCCCCCTTGCTCTTGCTCTCTCTCTCTCTCTCTCTCTCTCTCTCTCTCACTGTCTCCCTCTCTCTCCCTGACAAAAGGCTTGTGGTAAGGCCCTTCCTGGCATCCAGAAGGATATAGCTTTTTAATTTTTGTGACTCATGAGGATTTGGATAGAATACAAATGCTGAAGGAGCCCAAACTCCTGTAAGGTTAAGCATTTGTAGAGCTGAACTCTGCAGTTAAGGTTTTCCTTTCTGTTCCCCTACCCCCACTTTTTTTTTTTCTTTTTTGCCTCCTTTTATTTAGTTCATTATTGTGTCTGTGGAAAAGAACAAAATTGGCTCAAGAGGCTGTGTGAAATTCTGAACAACAGTGATGATTTACAATAATTTACATCTTTGGATTGTATCACATTCTGGGGTCTGCTTCATATTTGCTGGGTGATTTGAGTCCTTCTGTTTTTCTTTTTCTTGTCTTTTTAAACTTGTGAATCTGTAACTCATTGTAAAAAAGTTTACCTTTCTTAAGGTCTGGTTGCAAACTGCTTGCCGGGCTTGACTGTAATTGGCTGTCATGAAAGTGTTAGTCTTGAGATTCCTTTACAAATACTAAATCGTGTCTCTCTAGTTAATGTATGATCAATATTAGATGCCGGCTCCTACAGTAAAGATTAAATGTAATTAGTATCTTTCGTATTAAATGTAATTAGTATCTTTTGTATCTCAATACCAGTTTGAGGATCTTACAAAAAATGAATGGCAGTAATTGTAACATACTTTATTGGATGAATCTTAGTGTTTTTTATGCTTGTAATTTTTATTTTTCAAAGAAATGTATTCATTTTATATAATTCTTTGGATAGTTTATTTGGATGTTAACTTTAACAGAGTCTTTGACAGCAAATCTTACATATACATCTATAAAGTAAAATTCTTATGTTGTAACTTAGATTGTTCAATGTTATTGACTTTATAAGCTCAGAATGGAGTGGGTTAACAGAAGCTGTATTTTTTGTTTATAATGGAAGCTTTGAAATAAATTACAAAATGCTGTGTGTAGTAAGGAATAATGCACACAGACAGAGTATGTTAGTCGTCTCGATTTGCTAATTCTGATTCAGAAGAAAATTGGAAACATCTTTGGGAAACTATCTCCTTTTTTGCCCCTTTGGACAAGTATGTATAGAACTCATTTTCTTATTAGGATGATTATATATCATAGGCAGAGAATTTCATGTTTATGAATAGAGCTTCCTGTTTTCATCAGTTGGGAGCGATGGGGTATTTTTCAACAAAAATTATAAAGCCGAACAGACCAATTTTCTAGGCTTTTTTTTTTTTTTTTTTTTTTTTTGCCATTTATCCACGCCACTCTGAATTTGCATGTTAGACTTCTTCCTAGTGTGATAGTAACTAGGAGTGTCATGAAGTAAATGGCTGGGAGGGTGGGCGGAGACAGAGAATTACAAAACATTATTTGGGGTTTATAAAGGGGTTAGGGCTGGAAAACACCAAGGAGGTGTTGTTACAGCCAAAAATACTCCTGCTTATGGTCTTCCTAGCACAGTTTATTATCTGCTTTTGGTTTTTATTAGATAAATGTCCAGGTACATTCATAAGTTTCTTTAACAAAAATTCATTTGCCCAAAATATACTAGGAAGACATGAGCATGACTTTAATCTTTTATGCTTCAGATGTCCAGAACTTTCTCATAATAAACTTTCAGTGATAGAAAACCAAAAACACATTTTAGTGTCTTCTTTTAAATATAGATTTATTTTGCCTCACGGGGTGTGTAAACAGGTTTTACGTTGAAAAGTAAAACCTTTCATTTAATATGCAAGCTACTCAGTTTTCTTTTTCATAGATAAGGTGTACCAGTATGATCTATATCGAATTAATTTCTAGAGTAAGCTAAAGGAGGGATTTGTATATAGTACCATATGTACGTACAATAGCAGAATGAGGTAATTGAGAAAACTTAGGTAGTGTGGTAAGTCAATGCTTTTCTTCTTTTAGAATGAAGTTTTCGTTTCTGCATAAGGATTCTTTGACATCTTACAACCCAACTCTTTGCTAAATATTTGCCCCTTAAAATAATTTTTTTTTATTAAGCGTACTTTGGCCCTCCAAACTGACTAATACGTATTTGGATAATTTTTACATCTGTGTGTCTATTAACTGCCTGCTATCTTTTTGCAGGTAACTGTCCTGTACGTAATTTTTTGGTCAGAGTGATTACTCTTACTGCATAAGAGTTTCCTAGATATTGTTGATTATGCCCTTTCTTTCCCTGTGAGGCCCGTCACGTTCTGGCAGGAGAAGTTATGTGCTTTAAAGTTTGTATATTCATCATCCACACGTATTTTTTTTTTTTTCTAAATTGAAAATACATCCTGTTTGCAGCAAACATTACTTTGTGGTAAAAATTTTAAAACAACAGTGATAACTGGTACACATTTGATAATTGATAGTTTCTTTCCTTAGAAATAATATTACCTGTGATGAAGAGACTGACTCAGAAGAGCTACTGCAAATACAGCTCTTGATTATAGATTTATACTACGCTTAAACTTAGAGATGGAAACCGTAGACCCTCAAAACTACATCCTTTTTGGGGATATGTTAGTATTTGCTGTGTTGAAGTAAGCGACAAGTTTAGGTCGGCTGTGTAAATTACGTACTTTAATGCCACGGAAATGAAAAGTAAAGCAATTATCTTGCTTCCCCATTATTTTGTATTTAATAAATTTGTCAACATTGGTTGAACTTTTTATATTATATACTAAAAAGTGTTTTAAATGCTACATATATCTTGATGGCTACCTTTTGAATTATTTTTTATTTTCTGAACTAATGATCCTATTTGAATGCAGTAATTTTATCTGTATCAATCTTGTGCTCATTTCTGTTTGTTTTTTAAAATTGTTTTATACTTCTATTTGCTACTCTTCGATTTTTCTTTTAATTGAAAACAATAGGAGCACATGGTTTGATGTCGGAATTTTATAAATTGTAGAAATCCTGATTTGGCTTAAAATGTTTTCCCTGATTGTGTGGTTTTTAGTAAAATGAACTTTCTTACTCTCTTGTTTCAACTTGGTATTTTTTGACAATGTTTTTTGGATTTGATGTATAACTGTTTAACTTTACATAACATTTATTGGGCCTTATATTGATAATTTGAAAAAATTTTATATTAGTAAGATATGTATAATTTTTCTAATATTTTCAATCATGGTGATGAGAGGTTAATTCCACTTACTTTAGTGGGGTATATGTTCCTGTATACAACTGCATGCACATGTATGGTTTTGTGTGTTTGTACAGGGTGTTATTTTGTGGTACTTTTTGTAATGAGAGTATTTCTTCTGTTTTTTTTTTTTTTTTCATCCTCAGTTTGTTTTAATTAAATTCTGTAAAAACCCAAAGTACCACCATGTCCATAATTGTTTGAACAGCTTCATTTGGTTAGTAGTAGCAGCTATCTGTCTCAGTGTGAGATTATGTAGAAATTGGATGCCAAAAGAGAAAATCTTATTAAGCTTTCTCTCTCCCTCTAGCCCCCTTCGCTGCCCCCCCCCCTCACTTTCTCCCTCCTTCCCCCTTCTTTCTTCTCTCTCTCCTCCAGGCCTTTTTTGGTTTCTCTTTTTCTGTGTTGGCATTTCTATAAAGTCTCAAAGTAGTTTCTTAAAGTTCTTGTAGGGGATACTGACATTAATCCTCACTAATGAGTACCTGGTAGGTTTGAAGCCCCTAACATTCAAGGCAAATCATTGTTATATCCTGATATGGTTCACCTCATTTGTTAGATGATATTGGCATCTGATTAGAGATTTTCCTTGTTTTAATAGTTTTTAATTTTTTTCTCTGTGTTAATTTACTTGTAACACATTGTTTCACATGACTTTAACACTTTAATTATGAGTATTACTTCCTCCCTGCCTCCCCCCCCGGTTGTTCTTTGAAGTACAGAGTGGTCCATACTTGTTTAATATAGTTATATAAATCATTTCTTATAATTATTAGAACAATTCATCTTCTAATGCTGTCATTTTTCTAAGAAGAAAAAAAGGCGAGAAGTTGCAGAAAATATGGGAAATATGCTCATATGACAGCTGAGGATGTGGCTAGGCTAAAGCAGGAAACTACTACCCACAATGCAATGTTACATATACTACCACTTAATAAAATTTATATCAAACATGCTACTGACAAAACCAAAGAAAAATAATACTCCAACTATACTAGTTTAATGTACTAAATATAGGGAAAAGTGAAACTAATCTCTTTGGAACCTTTGTACTTGGAGAATATAGTAAATGAACCTGTGGGACATCATATAATACATTGGAGCCCTCTGGTAACTTTGCCTTTGTGCTATGAGACTTGGTTGTAGGTGAAACCGTCTTTGAAGAGAACCTTTTGGGTATTAACTGAAAAAGGCACAAAAAGGTGCCTGCCTTCTTTTTCAATGGAGTTTTTGCAGTATTAAAAAGGGTTAAAGGATATAATGATCTAGTAGGAAAATAAGTTAATTATGAGATATTCATCATGATTATTTAAGCTTTTTATCCAGCCAGGTGTGTATTTCTTTACATTTTGTTTTAGGTTGTTTTTTTTATTGCCAGGTCTGAATTGGGCCTTAAACTGGAGTTGAAGTGTCCACTGAGGCATATTTCTTTTCAAAGTAATTGTTTTCCTTGCTGTTTCTTTTTATTTTTGTTAACCTGCCTATAGCTTACCTGATCGATCCATATGCTTGACTGTCGGGAGGTTAGTTCAAAGCAAAAATGTAAACTGCTTTTATAATGTGGTTGAAAAAGATTGAGGATATATTTTTAAAAAGTGAGATTTCAGTATACTTAGGGTTTCTGTTTATAAATCTTAATCTTCTGTGCTCTTTGCTGTCAGACTTTAGCAATTTTAATAGATTTAGGACCTTAGTAATTTGGATGAATTTTGAGGTTTCATAAAGGAGGTTTCATGAGATTTGAATAAGGGAACATAACAGAGGTTTTGAATTGATAATGTGTAGAAATTTTATCAGAGAGAGAATAGAAAAGACTATAAAGCTAATGTTACTTATGAAAGATCCTCTGTTGGTGTTCCGGTGTATGAAATCGTTTCATACCTGGCATGGTATTTGTCATCTCATCATCTAAACATTAATATATTGTCTGTCTATATCTCTAAGGATGATTTGCTTAATTGTTTGAAGTCTTTTCTCCTTTAGAGACTGCTTATCAATAACAGCTGTAGTACTGTGGCTTTTCTCCATGGACGCATGGTGGTCTTTGGAACAACGTTCTTCAATTTTGACAGGTGAGACAGAGGCTCTCCAGTGCCACTGCTTTTGGATGAATCTAGCTGCGGTTGGAGAAAGTGCATCTTGCCAAAATATATGGGTGAGACCACACACAGCCTTTAAAATAGTTATTGTAGGCTTATTTTTAGGGATACATGTCTTGACAGTTCTTTTATTTGCATGCCAATTTCATTGCTGTGTATAGATGTTTCATTGGTTTCAGTAAAGGCGATTGTAGATTTAGATCTATACTTTGTTAAGCCTTGCGTGTAATTTACACTGGAAAGTACTCTGAGTTCAACCATAATTAACAATATAGGAAATATATTGAAAATGAATCACTTAGAACTCTGGTTTTTTTGTTTTTATAAATTTTGACCGTATTCCCATTGGAAATCTCAATTTCCCAGAAAGTTTAGTAGTCAAAAATTGCTCCAATTTGAATTTAAGATTAAATAAATTAGAAAAGGTTAAAATATTCATATACTCTATTATATTAATAGAAAAAATTTGTGGTTCTTGTTAGAAGTACACATTTTTATAATATTGATATAATAAAGCATTGTTCAAAATGTGTTACACTTTAGTAAAAGCTTGAAAGCATTGAGACAGATTGTCAAACCAGTCAACTTCTAAATGCGTAGGCGTAATATGCAAACTATCCAGTCTTTATGGGATGATTAAAACTTGATTCATTTTAGTCAACTATATAAAATTGACTATAGATTTACAAAACAGTACATTTAGTCTTCTGAAAGTGGCTTTTTCAGTAAGAGCACTCTTCAACCTTTTATAAAATGTTGTTTCTTTTTATAAAATGATATATTTGGGTAATTACTCATAACTCTTATTAGTAGTGATAAAATTGACAGTTCTTGAGTCCTGCCAGTGTAATTAGTCATAAGACTTTTGACTTGATGATCACTGAATGTTGATTAGGTGTATTTAAAAGTTGTAACCAGCTAAGATGAGATCACAGTTTCATTCTAGATATTTTCCTAGGGAAAACAGAATCTGCCAAGAAAATTGGAAACTCAGCTTCCTGTCCCTGTTATCGTGATGCCCCTTTGTTGCCGCATGGTTCTGGCAGGGAGGTACCAGGGAAATTGTGGTCTGCAGCTTCTCCAGAGAACAGATTTATAGAACAAAGAGCGCACATAGGATACACAGAAAGATTGTTTAAAGAAAAATTTGGCCCTTGCTTCTCAGGAATTGGTCATGGATGTGGATGCTGATTGGATGCTAGATTTTAAAAGAGCTTTATAAACCTTTTGCAGGATACTTGAGGAAACTTGAAAATGGCCTGAATATTGATACACTCTGGAATATTTATCAAGTGTGATAATATTATTACACATACCTAGGAAAATATCCTTATTCTTAAAGGAGGTGCATGATGAATTAGTTTCAGGAAGTCAAATACAAGAAAATAACGTGAAACAAACATGGCAGAATGTTGACAATTAATGAATCCAGGCAAGGGGTATATAGGCATTCGGTTTACTATTTATCAACTTAAATAGTGAGTTCTGAAAGGGGAAGCATTTTGTGGAAAAGGTGTATGGGGATTGGTTTCATGCTGAAATCAAATAGAGATCTGAGGAAATTTTATTTGTTTGTATAGTCAGTTTTAAAAAATAAATCCGTATAAATAGCCTGGGCTATACAAACAATTTTAGATTTTAGTTCATAGTTTTTTTATACTTAAATGCTGTTCACCAACACAATTTTCACAAATTTATACATAGAAAAGATAAATTGGAAATGGCATTCTGAAAGTACCAACTTTTGAAATTTTACATTTGTATTACAGTACTGCAAGTCTAGACTGATAAGCCAGAGATTCTTAGAGGATCAAAACAGGCACCGTTCATTACCGTGTCATTTGTTTATTCTTAAGTGGATGCTTCTAAAATATACAAAAGTACTTTAAAAATATAGTCATGTTAAAAACATATTACTGAATTGTGCTACTGCTTTTAACTTTATTAAGTTATCCCTGTCAAGAAGTATTTTAATGAGCAGAAGCCTGTTATCTCTATATGCAAATTATCAATCCTGAATCTGTGTTATACTAGTTAATATCCATCAGGGGTCTATCCATTTGTTCTGTAGAGGGCCAGATAGAATGTAGTTTTGGCTTTGTAGGCCATAGGGTTTCTGTCTACTACTTAACTGTGCCATTGTAGTCTGAAGGCAGACAATAAGTAAGTTAGACAGTAAGTGAATGAATGTCCATGGCTGTGTTCCAGTAAAACTTTGTATACATAAACAGGCAGCTGGCCTGCCACAGTTTGTTAACTCCTGCCACCTATACTTTAGATACAGAAATTTGTTGCCAGTGGATAGCCTCTTTTGTAGGACGGGCAAAAAGAGTTTGAAATAAGGATCAAACTTTTAGTTTACTTATTGTAATGAGTTCTTAAAGTATTTGCAAAATCTGTCTTTGTGTTTTGTTTTTTGTTTCTTACATTAAAGATTGCATGTATGGGTCTTCTGAATCGTGTTGAATCGAACGGTGCGTTTTCATCTTGATCATGTAATTATTATGTATTGTAAATAGTTTTATAAGGTACCCTGAGATCCTTTTAGGGATAAGGTTGGAATCCAAATAAATCTTCATTATAGACTACCCCCACCATATCATAAATCTCAATATTTAATTTACCTAGTTAATTTTTACTAATAAGAAAGATGTGAAGAAATTTGATTAGTGATTGTGATGAGCTGTTTTCCCTCTTTTCCATTTATATTTGAGTTTAAATCTGAGTAGAATAAGGAATTAATTATTTTTGGTACTAATCTCCAGAAATTCATTGCATCCATCATTGGACATAAATATCCAAAGTACATTAGGTTTCTGAGGATTCATCTACATTAGCTATGCTGAGTGTTACTTAGTGGCTGCTGCTGCTGGTTGTAACTGAACAGGAAAAGTACCAGTTTTTAAAATTGGTAAGGAGCATAGGAACCCATATTCCGATCTGAATTTGAGACCTGTAGTGTATTAATATTTTAGGTTTTCAATAATTGAACAATATGTAAATGAGATCACTTTAAGCAAAAGTTTATATTATTGAACACCTTATTTTATCCATGAGCATTTTAAGCAATTCCAGTTATTGCACACATACCTAAAGATCAGACAGTTGAAAAATTATTACTATGTAAATCTCATGTATTTTCATCACAAAGTAGCAGTCTTCTACTTTTATTTCTCCCTTATAAGCTCTGGCCATTGTCTGCCCTCATTTATGATAAAGTTTTAACATGGTTGTTTTTATACTTCTCCCCTTTCACCAATACTTAATTACAAAAGAGACACATAAATCATTGTAGGTAATAAGAATAGTCTGTCTGCAAATGAAACATAAAAATACTGATATACAGACACTCAAAAAGCATCATTCAGGGTCATTAATGTGAGTTCAAACTGTTCTGTCTGCCTTAATAGATTTTATTTTATTGTTTGAATGTTCATTTATTTATTTTGAGAGAGAGAGCAGGGGAAGGGCAGAGAGAGAGAGAGAGGGAGAGAGAGAATCCCAAGCAGGCTCTGTGATGTCAGCACAGAGCCCAGTGCTGGGCTTGATCTCATGAACCTTGAGATCATGACCTGAGCTGAAATCAAGAGTCGGGCATTTAATGGACTGAGCCACCCAGGCGCCCCTACCTTAGTAGACTTTAAAGGTATCACTGTGGGGGCACCTGGGTGGCTCAGTTGGTTAAGCGTCTGACTCTTTACTTTGGCTCAGGTCACAATCTCATAGTTCTTGAGTTTGAGCCCCACATCGGGTTTGTGCTGACAGCATGGAGCCTGCTTGAGATTTTCTCCCCCTTTCTCTCTCTCTACTCTTCCCCTGCTGGCTCGCTCTCTCTCTCTCTCTCTCTCTCTCTCTCTCTTTCTCTTTCTCTTCTCTCTCTTTCAATAAATAAATAAATAAACTTAAAAAATTAAATGATATCACTGTGTTACAACAATTTATTAAACTAGTAGACAGGAGGAACATTTTATGAAGCATACTTTGTTTAAAAAATAAAGAAATACTTAATATTTATGTAGGGAATATTTTCATCTAAAAGAGAGTTTTGGCATTTAAAATGATAATATTCACTTATTAGGAAAATTAACCTTTGAAGAATAAAACCTGACCTAAAAATGATATGGTTAAATACAGACTTAATTATTATGTTTTGCTCTTTGTACTATTTTAAATCTCTAGCACTTTTGTCTCTTAGCTGTCCATTAGAAAAAATGAATCCTAAAGATTGCATGTTTCTGATATAATTACAGATTATTCAGTGTAATTGATACGTGTGGCAGCATATTCCTATGTAGTCATTTTCTGCATGAAATCTTCATAAAGTTTAATATTGAAAAATGTCAAAAGAGCTATTTAAAAAAATTAATAGGCTTTTTCTTTAGAGCAGTTTCAATTTCACAGGAAAATTTCACAGCACAGAGTTTCCATACATCCCCTTTCCTCCTCCAAAGCCCCGTTTCCCCTATCATTAATGTCTTGCATTGGTACCCTGTTTGTTACAATTGATGAACTGATATTGATTGCTACGTATTTGTTAAGTAAAGTCAGTAGTTTACGTTAGAGGTCATTTTTTTTTTTTTTTAGGTTTATTCATTTATTTTGAGAGAGAGAGAGAGAGAGCGAGCACAAGCATGAGCAGGAAGGGGCAGAGAGAGAGGGAGAGAGAAAAAGTCCTAAGCAGGCTCTGCACTATCAGCTTGGAGCCTGACACAGGGGCCCTACGTAGGACTCGAATTCAGGAACCATGAGGTCAAGACCTGAGCAGAAATCAAAGGTTGGCTGCTTAACTGACTGAGCCATCCAGGAACCCCTAGAAGTCATTTTTTTTTTTTTTAAGTTATTTATTTGAGAGAGTGAGAGAGTACGAGCAGGGTAGGTAGGGGCAGAGACCGAGAGAGAGGCAGTGCAGAACCCAATGCGGGGCTTAAACTCACAAACTGTGAGATCATGACCTGAGCCAAACCAAGAGTCGGAGGCTAACCAACTAAGCCACCCAGGCCCAACTAGAGGTCATTCTTTATGTTGTGTAGTTACAGGTTTTATCAAATATATGATTTTATGCATATTATCCATATAAATCCCTGTGGCATTTTGATTATATACACATAACATAAAATTTAGCATCTTAACCAGTTTAGATATTGATCTTTTTATTGTCTTGATAGTATTGTTTTTTTCAGCATGTCAGATAGTTGGAATCATACAAAATGTAGTCTTTTCAGACAGGATTCTTTCACTTAACAGTATTCATTTCAGGTTCCATGTCTTTTTTGTAGCCTGATGGCTAATTTCTTTTTTGTGGTTTCATCACTAATTACTTTTTACTTTTTTACTGAATAATACTTCATTGTATGAATGTACAATGGTTTGTTTATTCATTCAACTATTGAAGGACATCTTGGTTGCTTCCACTTTCTGTCAATCCTGAATGAAGCTGCTATGAATGCGAGTACAGGTTTTTGTGTAGACATAAGTTTTCAACTCATTTGGGTAAATACTTAGGAAGATGGTTATGGCTTAAGGCTATGTCTGACTTGGTAAGAAATTGGCAAACTGTTGTCCAGAGTGGCGGTATCATTTAGCATGCGTGCCGGTAATGAATGAGAGCTCCTGTCGCTCCACATTGTCGTCAGCATTTGCTGTTCTCACTCTTTTGGCTGTTAGCCATTCTAACAGATATGTAATGATACCTCCTCATTGTTTTAATATTGCAGTACCTCAACCATAAATGGTGATCAGTGTCTTTTCATATGCTTATTGGCATCGATATATCTTCTTTGGGTGGTGTCTGTTCAGATATTTGCCCTGTTTTTACTTTATTATTTTTTATTCAGTTAAGAAGTCTTTATACTTGTATTTGTTGGTGGACACTTGAGGTGTTAGATTAATTTCTCTTACATTTAGAAAGTTAGTTATTTCCAGGGGTGCCTGGGTGGCTCAGTCGGTTAAGCGTCTGACTTCAGCTCAGGTCATGATCTCGCAGTTCATGAGTTGGAGCCCCGCGTTGGGCTCTGTGCTGACAGCTCAGAGCCTGGAGCCTGCTTTGGATTCTGTGTCTCCCTCTCTCTCTGCCCCTACCCTGCTCTGTGCGTGCATTCTTTCTCTGTCTCTTTCAAAAATGATAAACATTAAAAAATTTTTTAAATAAAAAAAAAAAAAAAAAGGTAACTTACTCCAGCAGTGGTTCATGCCGTTGACAAAGATCAGTTGCCTGTATTTGTGTGGGTCTGTTTCTGGACTCCCTGTTCTGTTCCATTGATTGAGAGGTCTGTTCTTTTGCTAGAACCACACTGGCTGGATTAGTATAGCTTTATTATGTTATAGTAATAGGATATCAGTTTGTTGGTGGTATTCATAAAGTAACTTGTTGGGATTTTCACTGGGATTGCATTGAATGGTTACATCCATTTGGAGAAAACTGACATCTTAACAGTGTTTTCTTCCTGTCAGTGAGAACCTTTATCTAGATCTTCTGGTCTTCTTTCATCTTATTCATAGAGTTTTGTAGTTTACCTCATATGGATCTTCTGTGTATTTTGTTAGATTAATAGCCAAATATTCATTTTTATGCCAATATAATGTCTCAGGTTTCAAATTCCAATGCTTGATTGCTGGTGTTTAGGAAAGTAATTGGTTTTCATATATTGATCTTACATTCTAAGGCCTTGCTGCTAATTAGCAATTATTTCCAGGAGCATTTTGTTGATTCTTTATGATTTTCTGTATAGACATTCATGTCATCTGTGAGCAAGGACAGTTTTACTTCTTTCTTTCCAATCTTTGTACCTGTTATTTTCTTTCCTTGGCTTATTGCATCAGCTGTAACTTTCAGTATGGTGTGGAACAGGGATGGTGAAAGAGAATATCCTTGCCTTGTTACTGATTTTACTAGGAAAGCATCTAGTTCGTTACCATTAGGTAGGACGTTAGCTGTAGGTTTTTTGCCAGTGTTCTTTACCAAGTTGAAGAGGTTCCCCTCTGTTTCTAGTCTGATGAGAATTTTTACCATGAGTGGTGTTGAATTGTGTCCGTGTTTTTTCCGTATACATTGAAAGGAGCATATGGTCTTTTTTCTTTAGCCTGTTGATGGGTTGGATAATACCAGTTGATTTTCAGATGTTGAATGAAGCTTTAATACCTAGAATAAATCCTATTTCATCATGGTGTGTAATTCTTTTTTATACATTATTGGATTTGATTTGATTTTATACATTATTGGATTTGATTTGTGGCAGATTTTTTGCATCTGTGTTCATGGAAGATACTATTTTGTATTTGTCCTTGTACTATCTTTGTCTGATTTTGGTATTAGACTAATGCTAACCTCATAGAATGAGTTTCGAAGGGTTCTCTCTGGATTACATTGTTGAGAATTGTTGAGAATTGTGGAGAATTTCTTCCTTAAACATTTGCTTCACCGGTGAAGCCATCTTGACCTGGTGCTTTCTGTTTCGAAGGGTTCATAATTATTTAT